TGATTTCATACGTACAAGTAGATCGTAAATATTTACGTGTTATTTACAGAAGTAATTTCGACACAGATCTTTGTAGAAAATTACATCGCATTGATTATTCGAAGTACACAGACGCAAAACAACAATAACGGTGTAACAATTGTGTTAAATTCTGCTTCATTATTTATCCTCAATAGGTCCGACAACTTTAATCACGCACGCTGAACCGAAATTTGATCAATTATCGAGAGAGAGAAAGTGAGGAAATATTGTCAATTTTTTAGTGTTTTCTTCTACGACAACTCGATAAGAACTTGATCGTTCGTGAATATAGCTTCTTCAATTTTCAATACTTTCACTGTCCGCCAATGCGGTTTAAACGATTGTTACATAGATTTCCATATCAACAGATTATGTGAATTGATACCTGGCAGATACTCCCTAGTACGAGTGACGAAACAGGCTAACCAATCGATTCTTAAAACTGAGCTATGCAAAAAACCATGATAACCTGTAGAGCACAGTATCTAAGAATCGTACAGCGATTTTTCTATACGAAATAAATTTTTTTGTAACTTCGATCTTGTTCTAATTTGCGCGATATAACAAAACTACTTGAGTTAGACAACATTAGTAAAAGGTTCCGATCATTAATTGATTCTCATTAAAATAGATCGAGTTACATTATGTTCATTCAGACCAAAATTATTTTATAAAGTCTGGTCATTGACAAAAATCGCTGCAAGTTATAAAGATACAATTAGTACTCCGTCATAAACGTTAACACAGCCGAACTTGGTAACAAATTCTCCACGAAGATTTCTCGTTAGTAACATAACTACACGGACCAGTAATTCCTTTGGTACAGGCTGCATTCAACTTTACAAACATGAAATCTCCTCCGAAGCCTCCGTATAGTTAAAATTTTCGGACGTTAGATCCTAAATTATAATACAAACTTCTCTCTTTGTTTCATTTAACTTGATAGGCTTTTGGTTAAACGACTAGAAGTGCTACAGAGACAGTTTATTTACAACTATAACGACTACTATATTCTTCTTCCACTCTTTTGAAGTGACCAGGTGTGTACAATCTCTGATTCCTGGACACGGCTGACGCACATTCAACTTTGATCATCGGTAATACCATGAATCGATTAACAGTCGCACGATAATGTGAACAATTAGTCTATTATCCGCGATGTTCTTTGATGTACAAAACGATAACGTATCTTAATTCGAGGAGAAACAAATGGGAAAACAATTTTTCACTCGTTCGTAGACTAGTCTCGTTTACGGACACTTGGTTAGTCGAGCAGCGTGCGAAGTAGACTACAAATTAGGCCTGATTTAATTAGTTCGAGGTTTCGGTGCACACGGGTACGTTTTCCAGTTCGCTTAGGTGCGTCGATCCTCTTTGGTATATATGTATAAGTAGTTCACGGAACAGCGGGAACAAGGTTGAAATAAGTATCGATCGATTTAAGACCTTTCGGCGAATGAAGTATTGAGAATACGTTACTACGAGAACACCTGAACAAGAGTGAAGTACAAATAATTGAATCAGTTAAGTTACAGTTATCGATTTTATCGATACAATAAGAGCTCGTTAAATGCTAGTGAACCCGTGACAGGTGACGAGCACTTAACGAATCTCTGGCGATTTCGCTGCGAAATAGCCGGAGATGTTTCTTTTCACCTGAATGAGAGAGTGCTTAATGGATTGTGCGGGTATTATCAAAGTAAATTAATTGAAACGGAGCTTCGATCGGCCTGTTTTCATTCAAAACGCTTGACTATTTCGAGGTAGTCCGACTAGGGTAACGACTCAGATTAAATGCAGGAAATAATTCGGTACCTTTTCGTTCAATCAATTACTATATTACGGTCGTCAATAACTCCATCGTTAATGATGCTCCTTGGCAATAAAATCAATTTCAAAGAAAAGATACTATTTTAAATCCTTTGACTGTAATATTTATGAAACACTTTAGAAAATAGCTAGACTTAAACGGTGTCTACGACGCGTTTTATTTACTACTAGATTTACGGAACATTGAAAGCAGCTATTTTATAATAATATATAAAAATAACATAGAAAAATAAAAAGCACAGATTCTTTCAGATTTATAGCAATTTGCTTTTATAATATATGTCCAATGAAACATATTTGTTGCATAGATTCCCCACAAATGTATCCTTCTAATTTCAATAATTGTGAAATGTCACCTCCCGAGCTTGATGTATATAATAGATACACAATTTAAGATATTAAGAAAAAACTTCAAGAAGCAGTTAACGATACCATTGCCTTAAAGCCGCTAAATCTTTCTTCGGGAGAAGAGATTCGGCGAAGCGGAATCGAAAGTACCGATGATCGAACAACAGATTCGTTTGGAAAAGGTCCCGTATTAATTGCTATACCTGCTACAATTACGAACACGTTCGCAATCCATTAGGACCCTAATCGTTCAGATAAAGTAGAACAGATAAGGAACGATTGTGATAACACGCAAGCATTGAACGTGTCACGACTGCATCGAATTTTTCGCTCAAATGTTGAAACGCGTGCAAATCGTTCGCAACTTTATCGTAGACTCTGTACAGTTCGCTAATCCAAGGACGTTTGCGCGATCCTTCTTCCTGAAATATTCTGCACAGCAGCGAGCTCTCGCGGTTTCGATACATTATATTGTCGCAGCTATTTACACATATTAAAATAATTACACATTCAAGTTTACGTATAATCAATATATATATATTTATCAATATATATAATCAATATATCAATATATATGTATATATATATATATATATATATATATATATATATATATTTTGTATCGGCAATCTTTATTTTTTTACCTCCCTTTATTCATTTTATCTTTATGTACATAATATATCCTATCCGATGTGTGTGTCGCGAATCGGAGAGTCTCCGCGCGCGCGATTTGTATCCGTTTAAACAATATATTATGAATCTGACGTAACACGAAGAGTAACAAACACAGTCTACAATATGACTCGAACTGCATCATATACGATCGAAATATTTTAAACATTATTTACACACCACACGTCTCGATGATTTATTTTATTTATTTGGTTTCTCTCGTTTGTTTCCGCGCCTCCCTCGGGAACCGTTCTCTCGCTCGACAGCGTTCCCCTAATAGTAATAATTATCTTTGGTTTCTCGTTTTTTTTTCCTTCTTCCCCAGAATCACGCTCTCCTAAAATTTTTCATTACACGATACAAATAACACTCTAAACAGCGCGTATAATGTATGCATACAGAGTTATGAACAGGACTGTCTCGTGCGAACGATGAACATGAAATGTCGGGCCGATGCTTTTTCGATGCTTGTTGGGCTGTTCGCCGTTTTGCGGCAGTACATTTAACATGCGGGAACACGATGTCTGCCGATGAGTAGCTTTTAGGCGTGGCAAGGCGAAAGGTCGAAACGGTTGACCTTACAGTTTGCCAGTCAGTTTGGGACTCCATTCGAGCAGCGATCTGAAAGCAAACGTAACGAAATTAGAATTCTCGTAGGAACGAATTTTTTCGTATCGATTATTCGCTTGTGAAAGTTACGTGAACATCGAAGTTATTGGCGAGGAAACAAATTTTTGTTGCGGTTACGATGGGAATTTGATGAATTTTTGGTCACAATAACCCATGCGCGCACTTCTGCCGGAAAATATTTGGTCGAAATTGCAAATATGATTGACAGATTTAGATGCAGTATATTGAAAATGGGAAAATAGAGTGTATTGTTGCATTAGATAGAGGTTATATATTTATTACAATACAAATGTATTTATCTCTGTTTTATATACAGGGTGTCCCAGTAACTCTGTTACAAAGCGATGTCTCCATTATCGGTAATGATAAGCTGAAATGCATAAAGAGCGAATTGTTCGGTTCAAAGGAACACATGTTGTGGTCGAAACCGTTTTTTTTAAGTCATATTTTTCAAGATTTCACGAATGCTGAAATAACTATAACAGAGAAATCAGCAATGAAAAATAGTTGCTCAAAATTATTTCAATTGACTTCTGCACATTCTTTAATTCGGTTTTTTAATCAACGCAGTCTATTTCGGCGCGACAATTCAAATCGCGACGAGCAATGTGATGCTCGACTGGCTCTTAAGATCACGTGAAGATCATATTACTACAGCTCGTTGGGTTTTTCTTGGTCTTAGCTATTGCGATGCAAATGAAAGAAATATGTAATCCCATTAAAAAAAACGTCGATGACCTTGAAATCTCGAAAAGTATGACTGTTAAGAAAAAATGATTTCGGCCACAACGTATGTCCCTGTGAATCGATCGATTTGTTCCTTAAGCATTTCCGTGTATCATTATTGATAATGGAGATATCGCTTTATAGCAGAGATACTGAGTCACCCTGTATAATTGGCAGACTGTGTGGATTTTTGTTCGAAATAAAAATTCTTATCCTCGAATTGCAGCAAACAAAAGTTAAATAAAAATTTATTTTCGTTCTTAACATTTTTTTGCGTTTGACAAGTTTGCTCTAAACGCATAAAGATCCACAGTTCAATGAAGAATTTGATCAGTCGAGAACAATCGATATTCTTAAAAAATGATCTACTCACCTAGTATTTATTCGGTTAATTCAGAATCTTGATGAGTGCCAGATGCAACATCACTAAAGGGACATTAATTGACACTCGACCAGCGAAGCTCCCTGCAAACATATCACACATTCATTAAGAAAAATTTGAACAATTCAAACATCGACGCTTAATATTAATGTTGACTTTAAATGGATTTCCAAGCTATTCTCGTAACTGCCAAAATCTTTTGGTGATTGCAAGATCCCGTGCATAGGCTGTGCACATTACAATGCTATCATAATGCTTGAAATCATAAATCGAATATCCATAGAAGAACATTGAACTAATTCTAAAAAGTACGACAGACGTTTCCAATATTTATATCCGGACAATCGTTATTAATATTATTTTCGAAAACATAACAATTAAATGTTTATCCTATTCCGTGTAACTCAACGTTTGTTTCCTAGAATGTCTTGAAAGGTACATTTCTAAGTGACTCTGTAACTAAAGTGGACTAGTTTCTTTTTAACAGAATACCTTTACATAAGATATCAATTTTGTTGTCATTTATATAGCTTCATCAACAAATTTAACTTATTTCCTTTTTCGAAATTGTACCATTATCAATCATTTCGGACAACGTAATAATTATCGAACTTCCTAAAGTCAATATCTAGATTGACGTAACTCATCCAACTTTTGAATCTTCTAAGAAAACATATTTTCAAATATCTTTGCAACAAAATTATACGCTCTTCCTGACAGAATACCGTTACTTAACTTTCCAAAGAAATTACAACGTCCCTCCTCCGTTTTTGGTTCATCTTATACAAGGTGTCCCAAAATTATGTTAATTTCGGGAAATGAGGGGCTCCTGAGGTCATCTGAAGTAACCTTTTCCTTAGCGCAAATGCAACGAGTTGATTTTACTTAATTTACGAGTTATTAACGAAAAACACTGACCATTCTAAGACGAGCGCGGCTAGCACAAGACGGACTAGCCCATGAGCTCAATAACTTTTCGTCAATAATTCATAAACAAAGCCGTGGATTGCATTTGCACTAAGGAAGAAGTTACAAATTCTCTGCAATTCTCCCTTAACTTGTAAACAGGAATGAACAATTTGGGAAGAGGACCCACGATTATTCGAGTCTCGCGGTTCGTTTTTATAGTCGCCGATTGTGAACAACTATAAATCGCATTTCCTCTTCCCAAATTGTCCATTTCTGCTTACAAGCTGAGGGATAATTAGAGCGAATTTACTGTCCTTCTAATGAGCTCAGGTATCCATCATTTTCCGATTGCGAGTGACTCTTGGGACACACTGTATAATTAATTGCTCTCCTATCTTTACATATTTTCGAAAAGTATATTTTAAGATATGTTTGCAACAAAATTACACGCATGACTTTCGATTTAACTTTCGACGAAACTGAATCCTCTTGCATCATTAACGTCGCCTTCGGTTTTCCTATCGGGACCAATATCTCTCGATCGCGATAAAAAAAATTCATGCAGCAATACCTCTTTCGATCTGTATTGTAATCAATTCTTGTTTCGGGATCGGATCGTGTGTAACTTAGTCCGAGGAACAGCGAACCTATTCTGTATTATTAATACGGCACTCTGAACGCCGTTCAGAAAACCAATTTGTATTTATCTCCATAAGGCGGGGCTCAGGGTTTTTGTCGCCGTCGCGCCGTTAGCATCGCGATCGATATTCAGCATGCTTTCTGCGTGCGCTATTATTTCATCGTAATGCCGGGTAACTGTTAATCGATGGGTTCGACGCCGATAAACATGCCGATGAGGTTCTCGGAGGAAAATATCCGCGGTACGGAAAACGACGCGAGGGCCGCGGATACCATTCTCCTTTACGGTGGTCGTTAAGCTTTTGATTACGATCCCGCCAAAAAGTTTATGAGATACGACGACATCGCGATGGCCATGATACTTCGTTCGCGACACCCCCGCTCGGCAACGCGAGGGGCCTGCTAATGTAAACTGCATGTCCTTAAATTAGGGGAGTGTGTCCCGCAAACCGGGCCGTTTCGCTTTATCTCTTCTTCTCTTGCACCCTCTGTCAGCGGGAGTTTCCATTAGCAATAAGAATTAGCTCCCGTAGCTCGTGCCTTCTACGGCTAATTACTTTCTTATTTGCGAGCTTCCTTGTTTTACCTATGGCTTCCACCATTACCTTAGAAAACGTTTCCATTGCGAAACTTTTTTCCGTTTCTGCCGATGTTCCTACTGTTGCTGCTGCTGCGCTGGTCCAGTTAATCGACGACGGCGGAACGAATTACTGGCCGACTCAAAACACACGGGCGATAGACGTAATCGACGGCGAAAGAACTTTCCAGGATATATTCCGAAAGATTCCGAGCGTGCACGGAATCGCTGCGAGAACTTTCTGACCGAGCGCTCCGGAAAATTGCATTAGCGGAAAATATTGTCGGGGGATGTAATTCGAGAATGGATGGCCGAATCTTTTCAGTTTTGTTTCCGAAGGGAATAGCATTTGGGTAGCACTGTATTTTCAGAGAAGTTTGCCGGACTTTCTAAATGGTTCACTTCCAATCCGGTGTTATTGCCTTAGGTATGAATGTCTTGATTGGTGTTTTGGTCGCATTTGGGTTTGATCACGGTTATTGATTCGGTAGAATCCGAACAGGGAATAAATATTGTTAACATTCATTTTCTCTGTTCGTATTTTTGATTTTAGGTGTTGATCTCGTTATTAGACAGTTTATCTTTATGCTAGAAATTTCTTAGAGCAAGTTGTCGCGCTAAACCTATCGAGCTCTCCAAGCAACTAAATCGTGGTGCTTTCTAACGATGGAAAGACTGTGTTTATTGAAACCTTTCACTATTTTTGTTACAATATATGCTTGGGTTAAGAATATTTCAACAGCATTGAAACAAAATATGTGAAACAGGTCGCTTTCACCGGCTTGGTGAGTTTAATGTTAAAGAAACAAGATCAAAAATAAAATAACAGTAATCTCCAGTTCTTCCGATTATTTTTTCGTTCATGTTTCACACATTTGGATTTGTTCTAAATAAATGTCTACTTACTATACTTGCAAAATATAACTAAGGTAGATGTCATAATTACCGTGCCTTTAAGTCAATTTCTACTTTGCCGAAACTCTCATTAAATACTAGAATTTTTATTTAGTGCACTATAAAAATAGATTTCGATTTTTCAGATATTTTTGATTTTAAACAAATATTTTTTGTGCACGATAAAAATTAGTAATTTAATAATGTTTTTAATGAAATAAGAAAGGTGTTCCTTGCCATAATTTTGTGCCCTTCCAAGAGCTCTGCACATGATTCCGTCCCCCGTATTTCTGTGACTTTCCACGCTTCCATGTGCACGTTTTTTCAATTGTTTTGAATGAAAATAAGGTTAGATTCGATCACGCGGTCTAATACAAGAGAGCACTGAAATACGGACATGTTCTAAAATCTGACTCTATTTACGGATTTATATTACAAATATAAATATATACATGATCAGTGTTTTTGTTATCGTTGTTAGTACTAAATGTAACCATCTTACGATATAATATGCATTTTGTACGACATAAATCATATTAATAATTAATTTATACGAAAATCTTCGGCAAGCGTTTCTTACGATTTTTGACAAGACGTACTACTCAAATTGCTCAGAACTGCTGTAGCATCAACTGAAATATGTTTATTACACTTTAACACATGAAAAATGTAATACCCCTCCTTGAATCTTACATGCTAATAGGTAAACATAATAAAAAAATAGGTCATCAATTTATATATAAATGTTTTCTTTTTCTATACGTTTTTAATCCAGGGGCACGAAAATTGGGACAAACACGGAAACTGGGACATCTATCCTATGATACTTCACAGCTGTATATAGAAAATCAATGATTTCTCTTGTCAATACCAAGCTTCTTAAATTTAATGCCAAATGATATGCAGAAGTAATACTATTTAATTTTGTTTACGATTTTCATTTCTATAAATTCGATGATGTTGTTCATGTAGGAATATCATTTTTAGAATCCCGTTCTGTGTGTACAAGATGGATGATAATTACGGAATGTGCTCGGCATAGAAATATTAATTGATTAGCAAACATTTAGCACTATGACTACGAATCGTTCATACGTGATTATATGCAGTGACAGGAGCACGTCCAAATTGAATACCCTTGATTCCGTATAGTTAGTGGGTATATCCATATGATAATGATCCACCAACGTTACTACCCGATGCAAACTAGGTCTAACTTCCATGGCTAATTAGTGTACATTGTCAGAAGCATCGTCCAGTTGTGTTAACTTAATAACGAGTATAAATTAACTTTTAAACTTCTTTGTCAGCCACCGCATTTCATTTTGTGAGTTCGTCGTGTTCCGTGAAATAGTAAAACAGAAAGTTGATAACAATGAGTAATACACATGCGTAAATAGTTTGTTTACGAAACGTATGTTCGTTATACGCTATGGAAATTTATCCACGTGTCCATTCGCTGGAGAAATTACTCCAATTATTAAATATTCTATGTACACAAATAGATAGTGCGAGTTCAATGTTTTCTTCAGATGTTAAGTACTTTCTTGCAACTATGACATTGTTGCTTGTTTCGAAAAATTCTAGAATACTAAATTATGTACATATCGTTTACATTTTTTATATTAATTGTTGCGTCTCTCTTAATGTTTAGCAAATAGAGATAAAAACATAACATAGCTACTTTTACGTATTACTTGTTTTTAATGATCGGAAAAAATGTTTGAAGCATTATTTGATTCAAATGTGTAAATATTATGGCAAACAAATCTTTCGCAATGTTATGGTATTTCTCAAATTTCAAGGGGATCGATATATTTTTTAAGTTACATAATAATTATAAAGATCATTGAATCAGACTTTAACATAACTACGTTTGTCATTATGATAGTAGACTGCAGATTTTTTGAATTGCAAGAAATGAATGATAGATTTGAAATATGTATAAAATCTATAAATCAAGAAATAAAAATGTACTCTTATTGAAGAAAGCATTTATGACATACAAACCTCGAAAG